CCCTTTGGTCACAGGGCAGGTGTGAATTTCCAGGAAGGCTGGGATTATTTTCATATCAACTTCTGTGGTGAGCTTGTCGAGGCAGCAAAGTTGTATTTGCTTGAACAATCGGTTAGGTTACCTATTTTTAATTTTTAATTAGTTTTTAAAAACTTCCAGTAGATCAAAAATATGATATGTGTTCAACCTATCTTGTTTAACGTGCTTGAGATCTAATCATATAATTGTGATAAAATTCATCTACAGAGTGAACGCACCACACAATTATTTTCTACTTTTAGTCTCGAAAGCCTACTCACAAACGACAAACATATTTGCTCAATCGACAATCCCACTGAAAACTGTGGCCTTTTTTTGCATGCCACATCTGTCCTGCGTAACAGATACCCGTGACCATGTGATGGAGTGGCAACGCTACCGCGATTCGCACGAATTGGGCTCGAACCCCTCAGACGATGCTGATGCAACCGGTTCCGGCCAGATTGAAACTTCACACCATTCAAATCGGAATGAGCTCATCGTTGGATTCATTCATTAAATTGCGTAGAAAATGTCAACTGTCAGTCCTGAAATCACTTTGGCCGGCCTGGGCTGACTGAGAAGTCAAGCCAACTCTATCTCAAACGCCATCCCACCATCAATTAGGAAGTAAACGATGCAGATAGAAGGTGATTTAGTTTATTCTTTGTTATATCAGTTGAAGTACCTATTCTTGTGTATGTGTGTGTGTGTGTTGTGTACTGCTAGTCATACACGTGTGATTCATACAATGAAAATACTAACAATAAGCCTACTAAACACCATCTAAATGTATTCAGCCTAATTCGGTTGAGGTGATGAACGAGTGTTGGTTGTATTTTTCCATAATCTGATGAGCAAACCTCTTGGCACCATCGAATTGCACACACTTTTGCCTACCAAAAGGTGCTCCCATTAGCTCCGCATAGCGGGACTCGAGCTCAGGTTGGAATAATGCAGCGTGTAGTCTCAAAACATCTTCCACAACGTCACATTGCCACTGGTGACCTGTTGTCATAGAAGAAGCATGACTTGGTTGACATGCTCATGTAAATCTGGTCGGGTTGATGAGCATGATAGACGTGACGAATGAAGGTCAATTTGGTTTCAATAACTAGTCAGCTGATAGGTTGAGTAGCCTAGTTTTGGTTGGTAGCTCAGCGCCGACATTCTCAGTCTCTCTCTCATTCAGTCCATCAATCAACCTCCATTCCTCGCGGACAACATGTTGTCTGACCTGTTGACGGTGACTGTCTCACTCAACTGTTGCTTTCAGTTTGAGAGGCGCCAGTCTCGGCAAACCGATGCGTTCGAGACTATTCCATCTCATGTTCAGTCTACGTTCGGGGCCCAACCACTCGTCACCGCTGGACCCGGCCGCGGGTACAAGCACTTTTGTGTTCCGCCAACCTCGAAGAAAACAACGAGCACATGAGCACACGCCATCTTGTAACAGCTGGATGCCGAGAAAGGTTCATATTTGGCTCAAAAAGAAGACATAACCGAAGAAATTGTCAAGGTTTCTTTGAAAACTCACTCTATCCCTCCAGTTCTCGCTAGTTCGGCCCGTTTTTGAGCATTTTATTTACAAACCGAAGATACTCGGCGGATTAACCGAAAGCCATATTCGACGTGTAGCTTTCATTCACGCTTGTTGGTTCCAGTAAAGCCAACCGATGGATGATAAAAAGGAATATGAATTTGTTCTCTGGTGAGATCTACTCTCGAATCTCTTCACCACACACACACACACACACACACA